AAATAAGCACGAAATAAATACGGTGGCTTTTACGTCACTACATTTGACAGCTGTTCCTATTTACACAGTTTTATAGACACAACACACTTTGTACAGTGTGATCCATTATTACTAAAGAAGTGTAAGTTACAACAGATTCATTGATAACACTGGATCAGCATTATTTAATGGTCATATGGTGATTTTCCTAATGATAGTTACACCTTTTTTATGTTGTTTTGCTGTTTTTACAAATTACTGTTTAACCTCTTGCAAGGAAGGAACAACAAACAAAGTATTCAATGTAAATTATTTTTGTCCAACAGGACTTGATGTTTCCCATGCACCAGTCCTCAAACAAGTGTCTTGTGACAGAAGAGTAAAATACAAAACTGATATTTTAGTACACCTTCTGTATTTGCAAGACACCAACTATCTGCACATGCCAGCGATTAACAGGTATAATCTGAAAAGCATATGTCTGTGCATATGTCACATGAAATATGCTTCAGAGCAATGTAAATTATATTGCTTCTCAACAACTTTTCTTTTCTTCTTTTTTTTAAGTGAGCTTGAGTCGAGGATTTCGTCTCTTAATCTTTCCCACGTTGACTTGGTGAATAAAACCTGGAAGTTCGGAGGAGACGAGAAGGGTTACAGAAAGATTGAAAACCTAATCAGTAACTTCCCATCATGCTGCATCACAGACAGCCAGGGTCAGCCCGTGTCCTGGATACTCGTATATGATTACTGTGCTCTGGGAATGTTGTATACGCTGCCAGAGCACAGAGGGAAAGGATACGCCAAAATCGTGATCAGCACTTTGGCCAAGAAACTCCATGCTGAGGGTTACCCGGTGTTCTGCTACATAGAAGAGGACAATGTGCTGTCCTACAAGCTCTTTAAAAACATGGGCTTCATTGAGGATCCTTCTTACAGGGCTGCATGGTTGGAGTTCAATTTTTCAGATTAGAGTCAACATCTTTTATATGTACATCCAACATTTGTATCACGTTGCGCCTTCTTCATTTATAAAAATAGTATTCAAATGAATGCAACCCTCTTATTTATAAAAGTGTGATCACTTCTGGTCTGTTT